ATCTAAATCATCAATCTGAGTAGATACACTGATGCATTGCTGAGGCATGTAGAGCAAAAGGATTCAATTCTCCACTGGGCATCGGAGTTCACTCAGTACAAGTGGTGGTGGCATTGTGGGTGGAGAAAGGACAGGCCGGTTACAATGTAATCTGTAAAACTGCAGTTTGGTCATCCCTGCATATATTTACCTTGTTTTACAAAATAGATATTCAGTTTTCAGGTGATGCAGCCTTTGTCATGTGGTTTCTGCACACTGATGATTCCTTTTGGTAAGGGAATCCTTTCTTTCATTGACATTATTTTGTTCCCTCCCTAGGAATTTTGTCACTGCTGAGAAAATCCCATGCAGAGGATCTGTGGACCTAGCCCTGAGAGAGAGAATGGGAGAAATTTTGGTTATTTACCGGAAAATTTTCCCTTTTCGAAGGAATAGGCCCACAGATCTGTTTCTCCCTGAAAAAGAGAGATCTGTTTAAAGTTCTCTGCAGTAGTTAAATTTTTCTTTGAGTATTATTTTGGCAAGGTGCTGATGCAGGATGAGAGATTCATTTTTTTTGTTTCATAATCCAGAGAGGCTAGCTTTGGAAGCATCTCAAAACTGAGAGGGTCTCCAGAAGATAGGGGCTAGTCTCTTATCAGCCATACAATCAGCTTTTATTCTAAACCTACAGACAGGTGATTATCCACACTGAGGATATGTGGACCTATTCCTTTTGAAGAAAGGAAAGACTTCAAGTAAGCAACCACAAATTCTTATTTTTAAACCTCTTATTAATCCGCAGGAAAACATTTGATTTGGGTTTTAAAAAAAAGTGTAACCAACTATTCTAACTTCAGTGTTAATTTTAGTTGTTTCAAAGTGGCTGCTGTTTTATTGCCTCTTAAAAAGTACTATAGAATTTTAAGTGTCTACTTATTACTTAACTTATTTCAGGTACTGTGGTCTTTGGAATGTGGACATTGGATTTCAGAGGAACCATATGAACTGTCAGCCAATTTCCCTGCAGCTCCTGTAAGTTAAATGTTTGTGAATTTAGATTAATTTCTCTGTTAAATGAATAGTTACAGAACTAGGGGTAATAATGGTGACTGGCTATTGTGAATAAGTGTCTTTATTAGAAAAAATATAGATACACGTATTCTCTCTCTTGCTCACTCATGCTCTCTCTCCCCACTCTTGTCCAATCCTCCTTCCTGAACAGTATGCAAAACCTGTGGTATATAATATGTAAACATTTAGAAAGAGATTCACTTGTTGAATAACTTCTGAGTAAATAAGGGCAGGTCTACACTTAAAAAGCTACAGTGGTGCAGCTTTAGTGAAGACACTACTTTGCTGACTGGAGAGCTTCTCCCATCAGCGTAGTTAATCTACCTCTGGGAGAGGCAGTAGCTATGTCGACGGGAGAAACTCTCCCGTCGACATAGCACTATCTACAGTGGCGGTTAGGTTACTATAACTGCCTCGCTCAGGAGTGAGGATTTTTCACACCCTTGAGCAATGTTATACTGTTATACCAATGTAAGTCTGTAGTGTACACCTGGCCTAAGTTTCATGTTTAAATATGCACGTTCTTGAGTTTTGTAGTATCATGTCTTATTTCTTGCTGTGCTCGTGTCTCAGTTGGAGACTATCATAAGGTGGGAAAAGGCAACAGGCCACAGCTTTAACACTTCTGTTCCAGATGCTGCGTGCATTACTGTTTTTTCCACTGAATGGATTTCAGGAACTTAAAGTCGCTATGGGCTTCACAACCCAGTAAGTGAGTAATACAGAGCACTTCTTCTTAAATGCTAGCTTCCCAGCAATGACTTGAGCATTTGTGCAAAAAGTTTTATTACCTGTATATACTGGGCTATCTCCAGGTACACCCCCACTTCATATTGTCTGAAGTTATTAAGCAGTAAATTCGTTTTGGGCTTTGATACAAGCAGGATTGTACCAACCTGATGGTTGATCACGTCACAAAAGGCTTTACAATTTGTCTTACCTGTGTAAGACGTATTTTCTTCAGCTACTTGTTTCATATAGTGTTTCACACGTTTTGATGAGAGAACATTTAACTGGTGATTGAACTTTGCTTTCCTAACTACAATTTTGTTGTATTTTTTGAATTTGGGATTTTTAAATTCCTTTTACATTCATAATCATTTTATCTGAATATTTCCAAGATAAAGGTTTCTCTTTGGTTTTTAATAACATGCTATTATAGTGTAGAGCAGAGGTGGGCAAACTATGAGCCGCTTTAAGTCATCCCGCGTGCTCTTGTTGGGGAGTTGGGTCTGGGGCTTGCCCCGCTCCAGCTGGGGCGCAGCCTCGGGTGCCGTTCCACGCGGCTCCCGGAAGCCGCAGCATGGCTCCACTCTGGCTTCGAAGTGCTCCAATGGGAGCTGCAGGGGCGGTGCTTGCCGATGGGGACAGTGTGCAGAGCCGCCTGGCCGCGCCGCCAGGTAGGAGCCAGAGAAGGGACATGCCACTGCTTCCGGGAGCCGCTTGAGGTAAGCGCCACTCAGAGCCTGAACCCCTGAGCCTCTCCCCATGCCCCAATCCCCTGTCCCCAGCCCTGATCCCCCTCCCGCTCTCCAAACCCCTTGATCCCAGCACCCTCCTGCACCCCAAACCTCTCATCCCCAGCCCCACCCCAGAGCCCGCACCCCCAACCGGAACCTGCACCCCTTCCCACACCCCTGCCCCAGCCCTTATCCCCCTCCTGCCCTCCAAACCCCTCCTACACCCCTTCCTCAACTCAGGCCCACCGCAGAGCCCGCACTCCCAACCAGAGCCCTCACCCTCTCCTACACCTCAACCCCAATTTTGTGAGCATTCATGGCCTGAAATACAATTTCTATTCCCCGATGTGGCCTTCAGGCCAAAAAGTTTGCCCAACCCTGGTGTAGAGAAAATACAACAGTTATTCTAAAATGACTGTGTGAGTGTAAAAAGAAACTAGTGGTGCATTTATAGATTTGTTTAACCTAAGAGTCCTTTTGGAGAGAGGTGGAGGGATGTTTTGTGGGGCAGCAAATAACTAGCATGTTGTTTTCTATTCAGGTAGGTGTGCTGCTTCTGTTGTGCCCATCATTGTTTATAGAGTATGTTGAAGAGAGAAGCAGGAGAAAGCCAGATGATTTTAGCTTAAGGTTGTAGGGTGTTCTGTTTTTTAAACCCTTTTTCTCATTAATAACTTGGCATGTTATCAGTAGTTTTGCACAACATTCTGTAAAGTCCTTTGAGAGTGATTTCTGCCTTTTGTTAACTTCCTCACTTCTATCTAATATCTGCTTATCACCTTCATTCCTTCAGTAGAAATGGGAAGGCTTGGGGGACATTGAAAAGTTAGGTTGAGGCACATTAGGGTTGTGCAGAGAGTTTTTGTCTGTTGTACTTTATCTGTGAATAAGTGAATCTATCCTCTTTTCAAACATTCCCATCTCAAGTTGTTTTAATTTTTCTTGTTGTAAATACCGTAGTTGCGCTCAAAAGAGTTTCCTTCCTTTTCTTCTTATATCTCATAAGAAGCATTTAAGAAGGGAGGATGGGATAGGAATGGAGAAATATATAATGCTTATGCTTTTGAAGGTTATTGAGGAACGTGGCAGGAAAAGGCACTCTTGCTAATTTGTAGTTGCTTCTTGCAGTCACTGAAGGCTGTGGTACAAGTCACTGAATGGTTGACATTGCCTTATCTGAAACCTGTATAGTCTCTCTTAGATAGCATTTGCACTTTAAATAAGCCATGCAATCTTATTTAGTTAGAAAGGCATCTAAAATTGATTAATTGAATTCTAAACATTAAGGTTTGATTTTAAAAAACTACAGAATTTTCAAATAAAATTAGAGATGGTAATTACAGAATGATGATTTTAAAACTTTGACTGGAGTAATGATCAAGGTTAATGCCATGGTAAAGATTGAGAGTTTTGGAAAATCAAACTAGACCAGCAATGTCTGCTGGTTAGATGTGCCAAAAATTCTGAGCACTCATCAGATAATTTTTAACAATATTATGAAACAAGAATTCATATTTTACAGATCTGGCTCACGCAACTCAATTCATAATAGGAAAAAATAATTAAACCTTAAATCGGTGTTCATTTCATTATCTGATATTGTCCCTGTACTTTCCTTAGACAAACTGAAGATTAAAGTTGAGGTCAAGGAAGCATGATTTTTATTTAATGACTGACCAGTCATTCATACTGTGCCCATTGTTGTGCTGTCTGATACCAAGATGTTCCTTAATGAGCACTTTTAAAGAATGGATTGTTGCTGTGGGTGATGACCTAAATCTTTCAGATATTGAGGATATCTTTTGTATTTCTTCATATGAATAAAAGTATTATCAGTATTTTGGTGATCTATTGAATTAAAAATGGGGGTTAAAGTATCATACCATTGTAAGACAGCTGTTTTATGGAAGTGATTTGCAAAGTAATCTTTTGACTTAGTATGTTTGAAGAAGAATGTTATAAGCTTGGTAGAAGTAATATTACATTTTTAAATAACGGTCTTAATTATATTTTGTCTATTATGTAAAATGCTTGTTAGGACAACTCAATTAACTGTTCGTTCATGGGGTTCATATAAATCACAATGAAGTATTATTTTTATAAGTCTCATAATATATATTTTGCCTCCATTCTCCTTGAATAATTCTGATACATTACTTGCTACTACTACAGCAGTCTATTTTTGCCACTGAAAGCATATAACTGGGTAACTTTTTGAGAGCAGTTGATTTACAACAATACGGTTCTTCTTTTTGACTCATTTCCCAACATCAGTCACAATTACTGATGTAATGTGCATATAGAAAAATAAAAAGACTTTAACATGTTTTGTTATCTGAGCCTCAAAAAAATCTAGAAAATGTTCAGTACCGGAAACATGCTTTTTTGTGTCACATTTGGAACTCAAAGTTCAATAGCGGTCAATGAAAAATGTCTAAAATTGTAAGATTGGGGCTGATACCAAGCATGAGAAATTTCAACCCAGAAGTAATTTTTTGGTGTGACCTATATAAAATATTGAAAAGTGTTTAGAAGAGAAGTGTCTTCTGAACCTTAATTTTAGCATTTCTATCCATAACCTATAATACATACTTTTAAAGCACATTGTTATAATAAACATAGGAAAAAATCACCCAATAAAGCCATTTATTCACTTAAAGATATACATTGAGGCCTAGATTATCACCATACTCAGAATTGCCTGAGTCTCATACAGCTATTTCCCACACAGAAAAACTCTGTCCATAGGATATTTTTAGGTTTCTCTTCTTTCTCTTTCTAAAATGCAATAAAATTTATCTTAAGAAATAAACATGAGCTTTTTTCCATAAAAGAGCAGATTGGTTTTAAAGAAGTTATTAAAGTTAGCTTGTTTTTTACAAAAGGTCTAAACAAACATCACCAGGTTATATTTAATTGCATGGAGAACAGCAGTTGTCTGGTGTTTAAGTGAGGCAACAGCATTATGTAATACTTAATTCTCAGTTGTTATACATTAAACAACTAGAAAGGGGGAAAAGTGCAATCTTCATAGAAAATGTAATGAAACACATGATACCATACTATAATTGGCAGGAGAGTTTGTACTTTAAAATATCAACTGTAATAAGTACAAAATCTGATAATTTTTAAAAAAATCATAAAATAGTGATCAATTTTCCAAGAATAAATGCAAAGCACGTAAGTGGAGATACTATTTCTACTAAGATTGTTAAATAAACTGATGTGGACTACAAGAAAAGCCCCAAATAAGTCTAAACACTATTTGCAAAGAAGTCTTTGCAAAGGAATGTATCCTTTAATTATGACAATGAGCTAATTACAAGGCACTATATATTTTTATGTACATAAACAACAAACAAGGTATGGGATAGAAAAATAGTTCTAGATTAGATTGCAAGTTAGGAGAGTTTTATATTAATGTAATGTTTAAAGTTCAGTGATGAGCACAAAGGCACATTTCTAAAACTAAGTTTTTAGATATTTTTCACAGTTCCAGTT